GAATCCCCGCGCAATTCACCTTCCTTTCGGGTGTTTATCCGTCCCGTGTATTCCTCCACTTACCGATCACCCATTCTAGGATGGGATTTCACCCCCCCCCCCTTTCTGCCCCTATTACCCCTAGTTAGGGAGAGTGATGTCGTAAGGCAGCTTGGGTAGACCATTGCCCAGCAGCTGACCGCCGACTTTCCTTGATGAGTTGGAGGGGGGGGTCGGAAGTAGCCATAGGGATCCAAACTTTTCTCGCGAGGAATTCTGAACCCATCCAAAATGGGCATTAGAGCCAACAGGGGCAGGAGAAGTGAGTAACGGGAAGCGAGCTGCAGGTGAACTTCCGAGGAGGGGCGGTGGGTACCGTGCATGACCACGAACCTAGCTTCGGGGTACCCTACATAGCTGGGGTTATTGCTCAGAAGGTTTCCCACTCTTCACTCTTTCTCTCTAAGTTCTACACAATCACTTTTGAGCCATGGATGTCTTGCGCTGGGATGCAAATTCGGGATTTAGCTCCGCCGGGTATTTCACGGAAACCGAGCGATATAAAGTGATTATGATCTCTGCCATGCCAGTTTAATCGCCATCCCCCTCACTTTTGCCCATCATTTCATGTAGTACTGGAATGAAGAGCCGATATCTCAAGGTGCCCAAAGAACTGAAGAATGTGGATAGCTTCCTTACACTATCTTGATAAACCTGTATTAGGTTCTATCATAAAAAGCTGTGGACGAGAGAGCTTTCCGCGCAGAATACCCCAAATACCTGGCCACGGAGGCCAGGGTTTCTACGGGGCAATCAACCCCTAACCCGGAATATCCATTGACTTGTCACCTTTGCCCAAAAGTCTATACAACCCCCCACCCGCGCAGTTATGCTCATCGATTGCCAACAACGGAGACGAGCGATGCTGGACAGCGCACCAAGTTATGAGTATAGCCTTGGCAATATAAATTACGGTGGCGGAGGAAATTAGGATCACAGATGCCGTGAAATGGGGAGTTTGGATATAGATCTCATCGTGTCCTTTTCCAACCCCAGAAGCAAGGATCAACCAATCTTCAGGCAACTCTCTACGACCTCCTCCTCTTTACCAAAGCTTGCAGTAACAAGCCTAGCGCGAACAAATAACTACTCCCCTTTTGGACATATAGCCATTTTGAAGTTGTCGCTGGTCCTAGGTGTGTAGAGCCGGTGCTCGGGAGCCAACGGATTTGGTAAAGGCACAGGTTACTCCTCCACAAGGTCCATCACAGGTTTAAAAAATGGTATGACAAAGTCCTGGAAAACACTAGAAAGTGGGATGGGAAGCGTGCGGACCCAGGGTTATATCCTAGGCTGGATAGTTATTGCTTTTCGCCGGTGGCGCTCCCATATGTGATATGATATGATACCTGTCGTAGGAATACGTACGCTGCTGGCTACGCACACATTCATACACGTGCCTCTGGTGCTTGTGCGGGGATTCGCGGTCACCATTCTCTTTCCCTAAATTGTGGCGTTTCTCTCTCTCAAATCTTGATTTGTTTCGGCGGTTCGTTTTTGGCGATCAATCAATATTGTCTTCTCCACCAGCCCAACTCTCACATCGCAAATGGTGACACGTGGTATATAGGCTAAGGATGGCTAAATGGGGAAGTGCAGATGGCGAGTTCACTTGCGTTTTATCCGTTTAGTGTCATCAGGACAGCTGCCAGACCTCCGGAGCAGGCTTAGCAACATTAAGATAGAAGCATCGTAAACTCTATACTATCTATTATCAGTAGAGTGCAATTCCTGTGTAATAACTACGCTATAGGCTCCGGGCCATTTCCCGTTCCCTGCCATACTTTTACTCCCCATTGTGTGAATGCCTCGACTTCGGAAATCCCTAGATAACATACCAGTACTGCGCGATTGGATAGAGCGCGTGAGAAAGTTGCGATGAAGGATCATCAGTGGGTATCATTATCACATAGAGGTACACAACTACACTCGTTCCCAACAGTTCTGAGATCAAACAGCGGGACTCATCACCTCTCACTCGGGTGATTGATGAATTCTAGCCTATGACACCACCCTGGACAGCGATACACATGCAAGTCCTAAAACGGCTCCAGCTCCAACCACGCAGTGCTGTCCACCCAGGCCCGCCTCCCGCTCTGCACATCCCCCTACGTGCAGCCAGAGGATTACGTAACACACTTGATACCTCTTTATTAAACCTTTCCCCCCGCGTTTCTCCCTACCCCCCTATTTACCCAGGTGTGCGAGCACGAGTACATTTCACAGCACCCGAGAAATTGAGACCAGCACCGCATGCGGAGCTCGCCATGACGCTTGCATGACTGCTTTTTCCAAGCAAAAAATGGGGAAAGATCAGCTCCCCCCAAAGCTATCCTGCTCTCAATCGCCGGGGGGATTGGCGAGATTGGGAAGTACCGCCGCTACCCGCGGAGGGAATAGGAAGGTGGTACTATTTCTTGCCAGGAATTACTAGACCCCAGGCTAGGAGACGGGGGTAGGGACATGACGCATGTCAATCCCTGGGTGCAATACGGATTGCTGCGAGGGCGGAAGGGTTTTCACCCTCACCCGAGTCCTCAGCTGTGCTCCGGGGTGTATCGAGACTTGGAATGGGGAGCGGAGGATGGCACGTTGAAGTTGCTGGAGTACATGTACGTTTTCGTGGGCACTATCGATATGTCACGTTCCAATAATCACTCAACGGGATGATTTCATAGGCAATTACCATAATGACGACAAAAGGAGAACAATGGTATGCAGTGATGGGAAACTCCCTCCCACGCCCAACCCAACCGCTCCGGAGCCGCTGAGTATTCGAGTGACGAACTATGACCCCCACACAGGACGTGCTCCCAGAAACCCGGTCCATGCCTACAAGTACCTTACTCCCTGCTGCACTTACGAGGGCAGAAGCAGCGGCTAGGCAGAAGTAGGGATGTCAGCGGCACTTGCAGTGCTGTACGTAATTAGATCCGGGCAGGGATGAAAGTTCCACTGGGCACAAACTCGCCGACGCTGCCGCGGTATGATGAAATGGCGGGAGGTTGGGAAGGAAGAGCCTGGGGCATTAGATGCCATGATTCGGGCGTCGCTCTCCCGGCTCCCTGATCAAGATTAGCGGAGAGTGGGTTAGTATCAAAGTGGCGGGGTATAGGGTCGAGGATAGCGGGATCGGGGGAATGGGGGAATGGAGGTAGAGGGTGGTATAGGTTTCTAGAATCTTGAGAGAAGGTTGGCGAAACAGCGTGTTTGGGTTCAAAGTTCACGGCGGCGCCCTTCCTGGGTGGTTGATTCACGTGCGTCTCTTCGGCCGGCCGGGGCTGGGAGAGTATCACAACATGACCGGATAAACCCCGGGCTGGTATGATGATAAAACCATTACTACCGGTATTCTGTCAAGATATTAAATTTAGTTTGGGCCAGGGTGAGGGGTTGCCTAACCTCCACGAGTACAGTACAGTACTCTGCCCTCGGTCTCTGTGCGACGACCCCGAAAGGGAAGAAGGAAAAACAGACGCCCCATGACTTTTCTGTCTATTCACATGATTCCGCTTTCTCAAGATTTCATGACTTATTACCTCATTTCCTGACAGTCATATTTGTCAGTGTTCGTACAGTAAGAAGAAAAATTCACCAACGTTCACCAACTTTCTTTTAATTTTCTTTTCCCCTTCCCGCTTGGCTAATGAGAGGTGTGCCATGATTGGGCGTCTATGATATTATGACAGGACAAGCCTGCTAAAAGGTGGAGAGATCGCACTTCCGGGGAGGAGCCCTGAAAATCCTCCGTCCGCCTTGCACAGATCCCGGAATCACAAATACCGGTACGGTATCATAACTGAACTCGAACAACGAAGCCTCAGCTTGCCCGACCTTTTTGCTTACATGTTTAATCTTCATCCTATCAATGAACCACGGTGCGAGGTTTTTCTCCCTTCCTCCTTTTCTCCCTTTCACCCTTTCTTTTTCCAAACCTTCCCCGACATCTTACCTCACCTCAACGAAAAAAAAAGAAGGCCGCGAGCGCCGAAACCCCCGGTCTCAGGAACCGATGAGGCTCTTTTCATTTCCTTCCCTCCAGCCGGGCAAACCAATATCAGGAGTGGGCAGAGGAGAGAAAAAGAAAAGATAGTGTGGGGGGGAGCATGGTTACGTAATAATTCCCATCAGCTGTTCTGGGCTGTGCGATAGTCTTATCGACGGTTGTGGAAGAAACAGGAAGGAGCGGGTGGGGAGGGCTGAGGGAGTCTACTCGTACTCGAGGATCATAACTCATCATCCGGGATTGGATTAGAGGGTGAAAAGGTGGGCTAGGGGTTTGGGTGGTTGGGCGGGGCATGGGTGCAAAGTGCTTTGAACCGGATTGCTTTGAGCCGGATTGCTTTGCGGGCGCGGGCGATGTGCTGTACTCGAGTACTGTGGGGATCGGATGGTGGGCGAGGTTCTGCCCTGCTCCGGTGTGCGCAATATGTCGCCGGGTTCGGTCGGGGTGAGTGATGTAGAAAATCCAAAACGTCGTTTTTTCTCGTGGGGACCGAGAGACGGTTATTGCAGAGATAATAATGCAGTACTAACTGTGCCCGGGTAAGGTACAAGGGTGGGTGACGGATCTGACGTTCCCTGCACGGGGGTTGTGGCACTAGGCTGCTGCCGGTATGGTTCCTACCGTATCTTCATCCTCAGACATAACTTACCGGTAATACATGATAGCTCCCTCGCTATCATGTGCAAAACCTGAAGAGGAAAAAGGAAAGAAGGAGCATATTATGTTGAAAGCCAATGATTCTCCTGCCTCAGATGTCTAGGGATTGCGGTAGTGTGCCATGGAATGGGAAGAGCTGATATCTGTCAGCGCCAGCATATCATATTCGGCTTGAAGTTTACAATTCATCAAACTTGACGTATCAGTAAGTCACGTCAAGTACAAGTAGCACCCCACTCGCAGCCGTAACAGGCAGTGGTACCCACCCAAATTTCGTAGGGGGGGGGTATAACCGATTAGGACCGTTCAGGTTGGTCCTTTCGAACCCGCAAAGTTATCCCTTTAAGCACCGCAAAAAGGGGCAAATCTGATCCTCCTGTTGTGCCTTTTCGATTGAAGGGTGAGCCTGTTGCCGGGCGAGGCGGGCGAGCACTCCTATTTCTGGTATGACGCGGGACACGCTCTGGAGACGCGCATTGCGCTTGGGAGAATTAACGGGCAAAAAAGTTTCCGCCACGGGTACGATATCTGCTGTAATAATCGCTCTAAACGAAGCGGAGGTATATATAAGGCCCTGTTCAACAGGTATGGAATCATAGAAACAGAAACCCGTTGGAACGGGAGCTGAAGATGGCCATGCTGACGGAAAAAAGGATGCTGCCACGTTAAATCATTTATCAAATTTGATATTCCACTTCGGCGGCCGTACGTCCCCAAGGTGGCGCAAGTATCATATCGGGGAAAGCTGTTGAAACTTGAGTTATTATGTCCCGTTTCTTTAATAACCTTGATTAAAGCTAGAGCAGTCACTCGTGCTGCACATGAATGAGCTTTCGCTTTGAAGTTGGTACAGAAACCCAACACCCGTGATGTATGTATAAGGGCATTATTATTACAATGGAGGGTAACGAGATATCACAATATTTGTGCACCTGTTGGGCGATAAAAGAGAAAGAGCCAAGGAAACCGTGACTGGCGAACCCGCCTTGCGCCCAACATCCAGCTGGGGGATGGATCATGAGCCGTGCATGGCGGGGTGCCCACGAGCCAACTAACTCGAAGATGGCATTCTTCAAAGGGATTCGATAATTCTGCCATTTCACAGTTGTCAGCTACGAGTACTAGTACTGTAGATGGCGCAAAGCTTGGCCTCCGGCACGAGCATTAGGGGGGATGTTTTTGTACAGGACTGGGATTATTTCGCTGGTTAACCTGGACTAACCGTCCACTGACTTTGTATTTGATGAAGGTTGTTGCTGCATAACTGCCAATAAAAACACCTCCAAAATATAGTATGCACCGTGGGCCACACTTCTATGCTGCCTGTACCGTACTAGTACAGTGCGCAGGCTACAAGTACCAAGGTCTCGACATGCTCGTCTTCCCCACAATCACAATGGTTTCGAATCCAACTCTGTCATATCGCCGTCTACACGGCCATGGTATTGGCATGGACCACCCGTGCATCATCCGGATATTTCGACTCGTGCGTGGAGAGAAGCCTTCCTTTGGGGCAGATTACCGCCGCCAGAGCCAGTGGGAGCGCCTTTTCCCTCCCAAATCACCAACCTTGTGCACCTCTCAACCGCCAACGCTTCGATGGGCTTTCTTGCTCCTTGCTTTTGACTCACGCAGCCCCCTCTCGGTCAGCACATTATTTGTAGGGCGACATAAATTTAATCCCGAATCCTAATCAGGGCAAGAAACCAGCCAGCCAGCCGGCCCGGAAGAGGATAGCATCACTCACAGCGCAGCGTCCCGTCTCAGATCTCACTCGCACGGAAACCCCCCCCCCCCCCCCCCCATACTAGTGCGTGCCGTATCTCCCTGAACAAAACTACGCCGTGACCAGCGGGCGCGAGGGGCGGCAAGGAATCTTTGGGCAAAAGCAAAAAGGAGTTACGGTACAAGTACTCGAGTACTGGCGAGAGGGGAGATCTATGGTAGGATGGACAATGTAAATTTAAAAGCACTCCGCTGTACCGTACAGTGCTGCACGGGTACGAGCACAACAATTTCGACGGGTTGGTCTAATCCAATAATAATAGGGTGTTGTAAGTTACACTACACAATCCTTGTGCATGGCAATCTGATTACCGGTAATCCGTTTCTTCTCATCATCATCTATGATACTCGAGTACGGACGCTGCCAACAAACGGAGCGGCACGAGTGCTGTAATTTACTCGCAACCACGCCCCGCGTGTTCTCCAATACCGGCACCCATCTTAATCGACATTGCTCCCGCTTATCTCCCACACCGGAAACCCATCAAAAAAAATATACAGACATACGGTGCGCTCGTCCCATCCATCTCAACACACCCATCCAGCCATCTGCCCCCCACCCCCTCACCCTACCGTACTCGTACTTACCCTCCCTCCCTCGTCTCCACCACCTCTAACATCTCCACCACAAAAAATATCTTCATGGCCCAATAACCCCGGGCCCCAAGAAAATGACCACAAAATCCCTTTCCCCAACTTCCTCCACCACAACAGCTGCAACAACCGCCACCGGCACCACTGGCACCGCGACGAGTTCTGGAGTCCACAAGCGTAGGAGAAAGAATGCGCATGACGATGGATCGCACATTCCACCCGCCGCTCCAGATTCTCCGCCACCGGCAGCGGCCTTACCGGCGCAGATTGTGAAGCCGACTCCAGCGACGGCGGCCGTGACCACTTCGGGGTCTTCGTCCTTTCGAAACGTTTCTGCCTGCAATCGGTGCCGGTTGAGGAAAAATCGGTGCGATCAGAGGTTGCCGGCTTGCTTGAGCTGCGAGAAGGCTAATGTGAAGTGTGTGGGGTATGATCCGATTACTAAGAGGGAGATACCGAGAAGGTTTGTTTTGGCTCTTCTTTTTTTTCCCCCTCTTCACCGCTCGACACCCCCCGTGTACTCTCCCCCTAAGAAAGAAAAAGAAAAAAAAATCCCCTTTGGCCCCTCAGCGGTTTCTCTCACGGAGCGAATTCTAACGACTGAGTGAATCACAGCTATGTCCATTACCTGGAGACCAGGTTGGCCTATCTCGAGTCATTGTTGGCAAACAACAGTATTCCCTTTCCGCCCGCCGAATCTTTTCCGGACTTGGCTCCACCGCCCCCACCCCCCTCTCAGACCCCTACATCAGCGTCATTCCCGCCGCCGCCCATAGCTACAGCAAATTCGCTTGGCCAGCTGGGTCCATCCCCGCAGCAATTGCTCACTCCGATCGATCCGGCACTCACTACAGATGAACCCATGCGGGATCTTGGCGTCAAGCGTGAGCCCCTCACCAAAAATCCGGAAAACACGGAGGATAAGAAGCTGGATAATCTCGTCTCTGATATTGGTCTTGTCTCTTTTGCCGGCGCGAGCGACCCTAGGTATATGGGTTCCGCTTCGGGGATCTCCTTCGCGAGAGTGGTGTTCGCCGCTGTGAAGAGTAGCGCTTCGGGGGCGGGTGGCGACCAAAATGGGGCAGGTGGCGAGGGCGGGTCGTCAGGGCCCAGGCGATTCCGGCCGAGGATCGGGTCAAGCACAAGGATCAAGGGCGCTCGAGGGCTGGGGATCGGAGGGCCAAAGGAGGAATTGGTTCCGGATGGCGACGAAGACACGCAGATGGGTGGCTCATTTTTCGGGTTGCACACTAAACCCTCCATCATCCCTGCGCCCTTCCCGAGTAGGGTGTTGGCCGAGAGGCTTGTAGATCTGTACTTCGAGTATGCAAACCCTCAAATACCCATTTTGCACAGGGGGGAGTTCGCTGGTGTTATAGACAAGATTTACGGAAGTGAGGATGAGGTGGAGGGCATGGCCAATGGCGCTAGCGGAAACCCACTCGGCGGGACTCATAAAGAAAGATACCTACTAAATATTGTGTGCGCTATCGGCGCGGGAATATTCTTGACAGGGCCGGACGATGGGGGTGATGAGGGCCGTGACCAGCACGAGGCGACGGGAAAGAACCCCGATGGGTCGCCAAAGATCAAGACCGAAGGGGGGAGGAAACCCAAAAGAAGTTTCAAGCAATTCGAGCCGGAATCCTATCACGCTACAGCGATGGTACATCTAGAAGCCTTCCTAAGCCAAAGCAAAGGCGGCCTTGAGGAGCTCCAAGCTGTCCTCTTACTGGCCGGGTATGCCTTGCTTAGGCCTGTCTCCCCTGGGCTGTGGTATATAGTCGGCGTAGCCTTAAGGCTAGCTGTGGATCTGGGACTGCATTACGAGGACGCGGAGGCAATAGCGGCGAAGAGTGCAAAGAAGGACGGCAAGAGGGGGAAGCGACAGTGGTCCAGAGAGCTGAGAAGACGCCTTTGGTGGTGTGTCTATAGCCTCGATAGACTGGTCAGCACCTGCGTTGGCCGGCCATTTGGAATTTCAGACGAAGTAGTCAGTACGCAGGTGGGCGGTTCTAACATCCCTTCCCCTTTGAATTGATTCCACAGCCTATAGAAGATGTCGTTGTCTTGTTTCCGTGTTGATGTGCCAACATGGTAATTTTTTTGTTGCGTTTAGTTTCCGTCACTCCTAGACGATCAGTACATCCACCCGACGGCTGGGATAACCCCTCCCCCTCCAGGAAAGGAATTGCCTTCTTACAAGACAATATCTCACCACTACTTCCGCCTCCGCTTGCTTCAGTCCGAGATATTACAGGTTTTGCAGCAACAGTCTCACTCCCTTGCTTTCACCAGCACATCCAGCGACCCGCGCGCTGATCCTGCCGTGTCAAAGCCTTCAAGGAGCGATATCTACCCTCCCCACCATCCTTACCATTTGCAGACTCCTTTCCTCCGCAATTTTGAGACGGTACAGTGCTGGCACAAAGACGTGGACCGCCGGCTAAAAGAATGGATCGATACGGCCCCGCAGTCCAAAGAGCAGACTGGAGTCTCATTCTCCCTTGAGTTCTTACAACTAAACTATTGGCAGGCCAAGATAATGCTCTATCGGCCATGCCTTTCTGTTCCAGTCCTGCTCGCAGGAGAGTTGGGGCCCAATGGAAATTCTGCTCGTGGTAGGGCGGCCGAGCGGGCATTTGGAGGAAGAAAGGTCAGTCCGGAAGAGCAAGAGAGGGTTTATTTGACTGTCGCAGAGGCGGGAAGCAAGGTCCTCAGATTGTACAGGCAACTCCACCGGGTTCACCAAGTGAACTATACGTTCCTTGCTACCCATCACCTATTCATGGCCGGTAATTACTCCCCCACCCTGATCATGCCTCCCTTTCCCATTCTTGACTCGACTCTGATGCTTGCGATTAGGGATCTCTTTCCTTTACACGATCTGGCATTCTCCATTGGTTCGTTCTCGCCTGTCTATGGACGAGGTAGATTTTACCATATTAGCTGCTACCTCTGTCCTTGGTGATTTGGTCGACAAATGCCCTCCTGCTGAAGCTTGTCGTGATGCATTCGAGCGTATGTCACGCGCAACTGTTCAAATGTGCTTAGCGGGTGGCCAAGGGCCAATGAGTAAAATTGTACCATCGGGAACATTTGCGCATAGTCCTGGGGTTGGTGGGGCAGCAGGGATGAATCGCGCGGGGATGGCACAGTCAAGGCAACATCCGGTGGTAGTGAAAGAGGAGGACGACGATGATGATGACGATGACGACGATGAAGAAGGAGGCATAGAAGAGGTTGCGCCGGGCTTCACCAAAGATTTTGAGAGCATGACGAGAACATTCGCCGGATCCCGACAGCACGACGACTATGAGCCCATGTCAGCAACAACCCCGCCTCCCACAACACAGGAACAGCAGGAGGAGGAACTGATGCAGGAACTAAAGCAACAAGAGCAACGCCAACAACTGCAACGACAGCAGCAACGACAGCAGCAGCAACAGCAGCATCAAGCAGAACAACGCAAACGTCAACCCCATTTTGACGAAGATTTTCGCGAGCTCTTCACTCCCGGCACAGGAGGGGCAAGCAACACCGTCCCAAGCCTGCGCTTCAATCAACAGCAGCACCACCCCAACAATCCCCACCATCCCCACCCTGCATCAGCACCTTCCCCACAATATAACCTATCGCCAACCCATAGCTTCGCACCGCATCACCCGTTCACGTTCTCTTCTCCAACGCGCACGCACAACCAACTTCCACTCTCCCTGCAACAGCACTTTCCATCTCCGCCCGTGGATCAGGACGGAATGATCATCGACCCGCAGCTCTCACAGCCGGTAGATTGGGGAAATCTGGATATGTCCGCGTTTGGCCTTGGTGGCCTAGACTGGGAGGGTGATGCATGGAGCGATAGTGGAAGCACGGGGGGCGTGGCGGGGAGCGGGAACGCCGCAGGGCAAGGAATGGATCTTTTCGACGGATTCTTTTTCGGCCCCGGCGGGGCCTGAAGCGGTGGAATAGGTTCCCTCACGTCATTTCCTTGTTTTCCTTGGCCCGTTTTTGTGTGAGAGTGTGGCGCCAATCGAATCGGATGGGAATCAATTTTGTGTATTATTACGGAGCGCTCTTTCTCTCTTTAGTTTCACCTATCATCTACCATTCTTCTACCAGTTGTTTACCCACGTTAGTGTATTGTTTACGGCACAGGATCTTATTTCTTCTTCCTTCCCCCTCCCTCTGGCTAGCTATTATACCCTCTCCCGCACCCTTATCCCTTTATACCCCTCCCTTGGCAGTGCCTCCCACCATACCCAACCAAGCACACCAGATTCCATCACCCGAGGTTTTTTTTGTTTTTTTGTCTAAAAAAAAAAGGTAGGGGGGTTCAGTCCTTGTTTTCGCAACCTTGGTTTTTTTCCGCTTCGCAGTGGGATATCGTACTAGTAAAGTCTGGACGGATGGATCGATGAATGAATGAATGCATGCATGAACGGGCGTCTTGTAATTGCAGGAACCAAGGACGAGAGAAGAATCACGATACGAATCCAGTAATGATTCATGAGGGGGCATTCTAGTCTGGACTGGCTTCCTTCTGACGTATAAGACGGAGTGGAGGTGTGGATGTCGTACGACACTGACGGCACTCGCCGGATGGGCCTGGTCGGGGTTCCATGCCGGGGGCAGGGGGCAGGGCGGGAGCATGTCGGGGGGGTTATTGTTTTTTCTTCACTTCCGGGAAGGGTGGGCTGCCACCCGGCGATGGGTTGATGGTATGCTGTGGTAATCCCCCATTCCCGTGAGGACTGGTCGGGGGGCGCAGTAGATGGCGGAGTGGGTATGCGCATGAGAGTATCATACATTCGGATTGTTGCAATCAAGCCCCGCAATCTCACGGCCGGTGGGGAGGAGGGGGGGGGGGGGGGTGGTATGGCGCACCACCACATGCCAGGCGCTAGCGCACGAGCAATTCGGAAGAATAGTAGAACACGGAGTGAAGTGAAGTGGCGCTATGGCGGAAACATCTACGGTACGAGGCCCGCTATAGCAAACCCCTGGAAGAGCTCACAGAGCGAAAAGTACGACTCGACGCGGGGTGTTAAGTGAGAATGGAAGGATATCATAGCACGACGGGGAGCGAGGGTGGTGAGTAGGCAATGGGCGTGAGAACTGTCCTGTGATTGGATCCTTGGCCCGGGGGGAAGGCCGTAGTCGCGGAAGAGATATGAGCTTCGTGATCCGGTGGAATCGGACAAGAGATCGGACGTGCATGAGCCGTGATTGGGTGGCATGTTGTGAGGAGGGCCGGTATACGCAGGGCGGGGCGCTCGCAAAGTTTGTGCTGTAATATCTGCATACGAGGAAAGGAGTCCGTAACGGCCTTCGCGGTGTATCTTCATCGCGTCTTCGAAGCCCAGAAAACTGCATTGGGACGTTCACGGGGATATTTCTCGTTGATCGAGCGTCAGCAATAGTCGCCTGGTTCTCGAGGGGGTGGGGTGGGGTGTTTGGCTGGTTGCTGTCATATCGTAATAGATTATGCCGGGAGCCCTGGCTGGTCATTGGTGATTGGGGTAGGGATTGGATCTGCGTGGCCGGTTGGGGAAGCATGAGTGACAGGTGGTGATGTAATGGTTTTGAAAAAAAAAAATGATGATGATGATGATGATAGTGCGCGGGATTAGTACTTTTTTAGCGTCTGCCATGCCAGTCATGAATTGGGAGGGAAGGCAGCAAGAGGTAGGATGATCTTTATGAGATGGGGCCCTTCTGACCATGAATCCCGCTTCTACCTGCAACCTGTTGCCATTGATCATGGGTTTGTGATTTTGGAGAGGAGTTTGGTTTTTTTTGAGTTCCGTAGCGCCGCTGGGTAAGGGCTTTGTGGTTTCCTGATTGGTTGTGAAGATGGCAGACGACTGCTGGGTCGGGGGATAGTCACTCACATTGGAAGAGAAGCGTGGATTCTTTGAATTGAGATCTTCTATAGTGGAGTAGGTGAACTGAGAGGCTCTGGGATGGGTCCGAGGATTGTTTTCGGGGAGGGGGGGGTATGGTGCGAGTGATGATGGTAATAAGGTCTAAAATCTTCGCTCTTGGTCGCAGAATGACAAAGCAGACTAATCTCGATAGCGGTTCCACAGATGGTTTGTATCAATCTGGGAAAAGTATCTGAGAGTGCTCTTGTGCTGCTAAGATCTATTGTATGGAGACTTAAGCCCTCTCCCTTCCGGTAGCGCCCTTAAGGTGCTCTCTTCCCCCCATGACATGTGGCCTGCATGAGTGTTATTAGGCCAATCATACTTTCTCACTCCCGTGGGATCGGGATCCTCCCAATAGGATAACTACTTCTCTGGACTGACACGTGTTACAGGGAGGTGCGTGGGGGTAGTGTCAAGCCCTACATCGGTCATCCACTCTAAGGATATACTGTCCTCCTACTCCGATACCGACTCCGCAACAACCTCATTTAGCCATCCGAATCTACACCGATATAGTATAGTCGGTAGAACCGGACCCGCTAAAGCACACATTGTACCCACCTGCCAAGCCTGGTGAGCCTTGAAGCCTGTTAAATCTTCCAAACAAACTTTACCATTTTATCCTTGAACCCCGGAACGTGATACTATAGCGACATGAGGAGCTCATCGGAGTGTGTATGTGTCTGAGTCTTCTCAGCGGGGAAGTCCGTCCATCCGTCCCGATGGCGGACGACGGTGGACATCATCGTACCGTCCCGTCCAGTTTGGTCCCTGTCTGGACTTGCGGAATAACCTGGGGGAGTAATGGACTACCGGTGTTGCCCTGCCGTCCCCCCGCAATAGTTGTCTCACATTGGGATTATGGAGCTCGACTATCATTCCTGGTATGAATACCCTAGATCCGATAGTAAAGACAGTGGAGAAAGAATCTGATGGAGATGTAATCCTAGGTGATAGTGGGCAGGATATAAGGGTTTAGACTGAGGGCATGTTATGTTCTGGCTGGCAGGGTTGTGACCGTGGCTTTCTGTGACTGTGGTCATGTGTGTTTCTTCCTGTCGTGGTGGTTTGGGGGACAATTATGGATGTTTTCTCTTTCTATATATATAGAGGGAACAAGCGGTCGAGGACCACTTGTCAAACACATCCTTTTCTACCTCCGCACAAGCGTTATTCCTCCACTGCTGCGAAATACCCGCTACCGGCACTTGCTATCAGCACCTGGCATGGGATAATGGATTGTTCGGCAAGACAAATGAAGTTATTATTAAGGAAACTGGGAATTTGCTCTGCTTTAGGAATACCGAGCTCCAGATATATGATACGTGCCCGGTATTGGTACGCCAAGTGACAGGATAAATGTCCAAATTCCGCCAAGTTTCTTGGTGAGCTGGCTTTATGTGTTTGGGCGGACAGCGCTAGCGGCAGGGGTTCACTATAATACTATCAACAAAAGCAAGTACAATACTGAGGAGGGGAAGCCAATACGTGCTATGCGGTCGGTATGTTGTGAACTTTCAAATATTATATCCTTGGCTCATAAACTAGAAGCATATTACGAGGCTAGTTTATACTCCTGTTGAGCTCTAAATTTATTTACTTTCTTGCCCTCAACCAACTTCGCACATCGTTCCAAGAACCCATTGGATCCCCAAAGGAAGGTTTAAGAATATGGCTTTGATGGGATTTATACGGCGGTCCCCGTCTACCTGCTATAATCGACCGCAGTCATCTATAGTACCGTCACCAGCTGTCTTCTGCAATCCATATTGATCTTGCCGCCCCCAGAAATACCCCGCAGTCATCTACAATTCACCACGGTCCCGCATCATCCTCGGGCGTCCAATGTGGTCCTCTACTCCAACTTCTCTTGCATCGTAGGGCCGGTGGCCCGTCGGAACACCTGCCGGACACCGCGGAGGCTCTATGCCGTTGAGAATACTGTGTCCATCCTTGTGTTTATCCCTTTTGCCTATCCTACAACTCTTCACCCCCTGATAACCTATAATCCCGGGAGGGCGGCGTCAATATTTACAGAAAAGGGAGGATTCTATCTGCCATTATTGGTAAATTATTGACTCTTTAGCTGGGAAAATATGGGCTGCGTGCTGGTGTTCGGGAATCGTTTCGGGGATCTGTTGGCAAGTGGTCCTCGCCCACGATGTGTCTTCCCTAAGCTGGGGTCTGTGTCTTCATTCTACCTCATCTCTGCGCATGCTGTTAGGTCGTGCCTTGTAACAAATACAGGTTTTCAGGTTCTCTACGGGGGTCTTAAATTTCACTCCCCGAAGTCCCAGTAGAAGGATTCTTCGGGAGACTTCCGAGAAATGTTCCCGGGGGATATGAAGAGGCTCCGGGTTGACCCAGGGCAACTACTGTGGATGAGCGTTTCCGGTGGGGATGAAATAATTGCCATACCATCAGACTACACGGGGAAGCTGCGGACAACTGTTGCCCGATGGTGGTATCATTTCTGCAGGGTTTGTAGGCTCCACGTTCCCAGAGAGCGAGTCATCACCAAAGACACATCCTCACTTTCCCGGGATCATGACAAGATCACAGCGCCGTCTGATCGAAAGGGGTTTTTTTTTTCATTCCATCACTTTGGAAACATTTTGGTTTCTAGGATGTAATCCCCCACCCCATAGCGTCTGTCAGCCAACACATCCTGGTACCAATGCTGAGGTACCAGTAGCGGTAGCCACCCAGAGGGCCAGAGCCCGACACTTCTCCTCGAGACTTACAATGTTGGGGTGGAAGCCAATGTTTTATAGAATTGAGAGAGCTGGAAGGAGTGTTCTGTGTGAACCCGTGAGTTGTACAGGACCACGAATTTCATCAAGTATTGGGTCACCAGCATTAGAACAATGTAATGAGACAAGTTGTATTTTTCAGCCCAATGGAGTTTTACGAGCACCCAGCTAGCTAACTAGCTAGTGGAGGGTGGCAAGGCTCTTCCTGGCATATGTTGAGAAGGCAGTGGTCGAATCATTTCGGATCTTGGAAGATTTTACAGCGTCTTTACATGAGTTCGACTAGTCCTATGATACCCGGGGCCCCGCTGGTTTGTCTTTTGCCCAAAGAGTACAAGCTGTAGGCCCTACCCATCCGGAGGCGGAATTTGCTTTTGTCACAGCTATATCAAAAGGCTCCATCATTGCGCAATCCATAATATTTCTTCAGTCCAAGGGCGCGTCTAGCCGTCGAGGCTTTTTCAAACCTTGATAATCACAAAATGGAGGTTGCAACAAGAAACCACAATAATCCCAAGTTGATGGTTTGTCAAGTGTAATGTCACAACTGCATGTCCGAGTCTGGTCACCCCCCCACTTACCAGCAAAAATAGTACCAAGAATTGTCATTTAAAAGAGATAATGCGAATACATTGATTGTGTTTTTCATTGTTTCTACATTTAGGTTGTGCTAATTGGTGGGTTAGGGCTCTATGGATGTTAGGAAAATACTGGTCATATCAGTATTCCTGAAACCCTCATTTTGGTATCATTATTGCATCTGGGCCTGGGTTCTGGTGTCAACCAGACATGGCACTCAAAAGCAAAGTATCAGTTTGTGGCAAACCTCCACCACCGAGGTCAAAACGAAGGTTTGAGGTGGCAGCCAGATGGGTCCTAAAGTATTTCAATGGTATCTAACACTGGATATCCTACTGCACTGTTAGCTAACTAACCCTTTTCGCACCCGCTAACGAAGGGCTATGATATCCCCAATCCCACCCGTCCATAATGCTTTGGAAACTTACCTTCAACACAGCTCCAAGTCCCACCCCCCCCCCCTGCCATAAATTGATTTTTAAGGCCCTTAAGATGTGCACCACCCAGCGCCACACCAACTTAGTTTCACTTAGGGATAGGTAAAATACGTATTTTATGATATCATTATCCTGAAACCAATACCCTACAGACTAAAATTTCCTCTATAGAATAAAAAAGTATCATAAATGCATAACTTGAAAGTTTTGCAATATATACTGCTGTTTCTGATCAGTTGCCTACTATCATAATTATGAACACATTTTTATTAGAACCTACACTTGGGCACTCAATACTAAACAATTTTTTTTGGCCTAGAAAGCTTCATAGACATGTAGAGTATATATTCATCAGTTCAAAAAATATTTATGAGCCTTATATACTGTAATTTGCAGCTTCTGAACCAAAAAATATGAAAAATACCAAAATGTATTGTTTTGCACTAAAAATATCTTGCACTTCCTGAGCATCAGTAGCACTAAATCCCATCTCAATTGGACAACTGCTTCTTGTAGTATTTTGAATTAAAGTTGTTGTATTTTTTTTCTATAAAGGTTTGTTACACAAACAACATCATAAAACAGTACTAAAAATGAAACTCCTAAAGCCTAAAAGTTACAAAATCCTGACAACAATGTATTATTTAAAGTAATAAGAATGCTTTATAGCTGTAATATAATGTTATTGAGTAAGTCTTAGGATGTTGCTATACTAAAACATCACATAGAGTTATGGTTAGAGTTAGATTTCTTTACATAGAAATAATTGCTATTTCATTCTGATATTTTCCATGTACTTAAAATATTTTTAAATATTTTTCTCATAAAGTAGTAGCATGTCAAAGTTGGAGGAAAACTAAAACTTGATTTACTTGGAATTATGTTTTCTGATTGCCACACTTCAAATGTGTTTTTCTCGTCTTGGCAAAAAAAGCCCAAGTGTAGGTTCTAAAAAAAATGCGTTCATATTAGAAATATTTCAGTCAACTGTTAAAAGTAGTACAAATTAAGAATTCAAAACTTCATAATATAATTGAAACCCTTCCTGTAGAACCTAGACAAAAGGTATACTCTATCACAATTTTCCTCTTTGGTTAGATACAAGGTCTGGTCCAACTCCAGACTTTAATTCCAAAGAGACCACCTGCTGGTTAGGATTCTTGAATTCTATTTAACTTGTATCGGTATACTTACCTGATCCTATAATTTTCTACCTCCTTCTCTGTTTTTGAGGTTGTGAAACCCATATATTTAAAACATGCAGAGTGAAATAAAATACGTCTTGAAAAATAAAACACAGTATTTATACGGCATTTTACCGTATTTTACAAACACGTATAATTCCAATGCCAATCCCAAGTTTCACTCTCCGAGCGATTTTACAGCTGAGGGGCGCCAAGACCAAACAAAGTTCGATCGCAGCTCCAATTGGGTATTAAGTTACCTATTCTGCATACTTTGCCGGATATTACTCGCCCCCCATCGCTGCGGTACAAGACATTTATTTCTTATCTTAGCTCTCACCATTTGACTTTCACCTCTCCCTGCCACAACTCAACCTCCCATCGCTCAGGCCCACCCACCAAATATACCTATCTTCCGATCCGATCGCAATGACCGACGAGAACAAGAAACTATACTTCAGCGGGAATACCAACAGCTTTAACGTGAGCAATAGCTACAATGACGGGGGTACATACCGGAGAGATGGCAAATCTGCGGGGTCGATGTACATGCCCCCGAGCTTCCCATTTCTAGCGAGCGGCTTCGATCCCGCCAAATTTATGAGCCAACTTGGGGATATCGGCGCCATGAATAGTGGTAATAACGGCCAGCGGATTCCGATGATGACGCAGAATATCATCAATGGAGTTTTGGCACCTGGCGGCCCTATCAGCCCCGTGGTTCCGGAGTGGAAAATGAATGTGGGAATCGGACACGGAACCTTCGGGGCGGTGTTTTTAGAACAGGTGGAGGTGAACCGCCATGGAACTAGCGAACACGAATTATGGGCCGTTAAGAGAATCCCGAAAGGTGTTCATAGTTTTCCTGCCGAGCGATATATGGAGGAAATTGCACTTTTGGGGGCGTTAAAGCAGGTATGTGAACGGGTCCCATAAGGCGGGTAGAAGATATCTTTAGGATGGAATTTTTAACATCCCGCAGAATGAACTATTCGTCAAGTTTATCAAACATACCGAGGACAGCCATCATGTCTACATTGCGATGGAGTATCTACCGCTAGGTGATATGTCAAAAACCTTCGCGGATCAGTACAAATGGGGCGAAGATGATGTGCACGTCGTAATGGAGCAGATACTGATGGGGGTGGCGGTAATGCACAAAGAGGGAATCGCCCATCGCGATCTTAAGCCAGAGGTCTGTTATTCCCCAAGGCAGCGGTCACGCCCTCACTTCACCCAGCCAGCAACGTTAATATACTAACTAATACAACCAGAACGTATTTCTTTGGCTGCCAGACCCAGACCAGCCGGTCCTCCGTGTAAAAATCGGCGACTTCGGCACCTCGAAACGGGTCCCTGTGAACAACAACTCGACATTCCTCAACACGACCACAGGCACGTGCTCGTACATGGCTCCGGAGGTCGACGGGGACGAAAACCAAACGGTCTACACGCGAAAAGTCGACGTGTGGTCAACGGGTTGTATTCTGTACAGAGCCGTCACCGGAAGCGTCCCTTTCAAGAGCAGACAAGATGTCTGGCGGTACTCCATCGGGAACAAATTCCCACCGGCTGGCGCTGAAAGCATAGGGCTTAGTCAAGATGCAATTGGCTTCTTGGCCGCAGCCTTACAACCGGACCCGAAGAGCCGACCGATGGCTGAGGAATGCTTGAAGCTGCCCTGGATTACCAACAAGCAGTCGTCGCCCCATTTCCGCATCAGAGCTGACCTTCACAAAAGGCTCCGGACAAGACAAATTGCTGATCTGGCGAAACTGAATGCCAAAATTAAGGGGGAAACTTCTGACTGAGCGCGGTGTGAGGTGTCAACCTTATGCCTTTGTTTTCCTTTTCTTTTTTTTGTATTTGCGCTGAGACGATACCTCCCCATATGATACTCCCTAGTGTTTCTTGTGCGTGTTATAGGGGCCAGTTAGTGCTAGGTTTTTTTTTTCGCTATTCCTCTCTTTTCTCCTTCGCTCTTTTTTTCGGAAAAATTTCTACACTTTTCTATAATACTATTCTTCAGTCGCTACAAACTCATGTTCTTGTACACCTGGGAACTTCGAATCCCGCATATCAGAACGGCAGACACGAGCACTGAGCCGTTTTAATTTTTACCGTGCAGAATACCCCTCAGTTCACCTCCGCCAGTGGAGGAGCCCGGGGGAGGGGGTAGTGCACGTAGGAAAACATCACCAAAACCAGCGGTTTCCCATCCATAATCACTCAACGAGCCTAAGCCCCATCCCGCAGGAAGGGAATGGATTAATGTCAACTCGTGCTAGATATCGCGAACGAGTTCTTGGGTATGATATCCCTCCATCAGTGCAGCATGACATCAAAAGGTATGGATTCAGGGTACCTACTAGGACAACAATTTTGTATGGGAAAGAAACCGGTATGTTGGCACCTTGCAAAAGACCTTCCGTACTCCACTTCGAGCATCGATCATTCTATCATAGATGGCCCCTATGGGGTGTAATATAGGAAATTCGGAAAACCTATACGGTATACCCTAGGCTACTTCAGAATAGGGGAACTACCGATATCGTATGATCGCTCAACAGCAGAGCCTCCATTACGTTCCGTGCTTGGCCGGATGCATTGAGCTCAGCCCGCGGCCGCCGCCAAGTTGTGGGGCTAGGGGGTGGTGACACAACCTAGTTGGTGACGCCAGAGCCTCATTCCGTCTCACTTCTTCGAGAAGCGCAAAACTGAAGATGTCGGGGTGGAGCCAAGCCTGACTCTCCTTGCAAGGTTGGGGTGCCGCTCCGACAGTGGGATTCTATCGTATTAATTTGGAAGAGAGTTCTTTTTGTCTCAGGACGCCTTATTCCCTTTCAAGGAACGAGCCGTTTTATTTTGCTGGTATTTTCCCGCATCCTACTCGAGTAGTCAAAACTGGAAACCCAGACGTCCCGAGACACACTGATCTTAACCAAGTTAAAATGGGTTACCGCCAGCCAGGGCGGAGTCTTTTTTCTTTCATATAAAACAAAAAACCAGGCTCATGGTCCAAACGGGAGTCGGTTGGTTGGGCCTCTCCTTTGTTTTTCGCTTCTTTCTTTTGCTGGGCAAGGCTACCATGTGTCCAGGTGCTCTGAGAAGTCTCACGCTGTACCATGTAAGTAAACCGCGAATATTTCGCGCACAAGCGCTTGGCCCTCGTCCGGAGATAGCGAATCACAAGAACTCTTGTGGTGTCATAGTGCAAAAACAAACGACTCAATAATTGGAGAAAAACATAGTGGGGACTCTAATGCCGAATTTTCACAAGAGTTGGGAACCCCACGGAGGGATGGACAAGTTTTCCGAGTGAGTGTTCGTGATTTCAGCCAGCCTCGTACTCGTACACGAGTGACCAATAAGCTTGATGGATGAGAAATGCAATGAATTAACTTGTATCTGGCTCCGTATCTGAACGCAGAGCCCAGAGCCTTCTTCTAAGTTCCAGAACCAAACCTTTCTTCCGGAGTCCATCTTAAAGAGATAGGGAGTTTGCTCGATCGCCCTAGAAGTTGCCAGCCAGATCGCGAACTTGGATTGACTGCTGTGGCATCATCGTCTTGTAAGCCCGGTTTCCGGGTGTTCAAATCTTAGCTGAAATAGAGATCCTTTGAGGGTGGCCTTGGGAGGGTGGGGCAACAGGGCCCTTGTTTCTTGCTTGGAGTTACTTGGTTTCTTGGCACCTTGCCCTGCAGATCCAATCCACCACCAATCCCGCTTGCTTCAGGGACGACAAAAAAAAGGTCTTTTATCCGGCATGATCCAAGCAGTGCTACCGACACCTAGTTCTGTACCCACACCGAGAAGGTGGAGGTACTTGTAGCTTGAGCCACACCGATTTTCTTAAAACCACAGGTTACGGATAACGAATAATTAAGCATAGGGGCGAGTAATCCTGGCCTAGGGCTATCAAGACTCAGGGGCGTCAGGCGGTGGGAAGCGATGCACGTGAATGGCTTCTTTACCAATCCATCTGCAAATATTCACCCCTCTACCACAAGCGTTTCCGGGGGTCAGAATGATTGAAGAACACTAGACGCCCATCCAAATATATCCCTACCAACGGTGTCAAATGATTAAATAAGGAGAAATCTTACCAGTGCCCACATTTAATGGGACCCTAATTGAGTAGTGCATTTACTAACCGCCCCTCAGTTGGGCAGTTGAAATATAGATCTTTCTAGGTTGGTGGAAGCAGTTCCTTCTAGGCTTTCCCACAAAGAAGAAGAACCCACCACTATACCATACTCCATCCAAGGTTTCCTCAATAATATTCCATCCAGTGAAATCCGAAATACTATCCTATTTTTCCTTGCCCTTAAGTACTACCCCCTTCCCATAACCGCTCCGGAGCATCCTGGCTACAGCACACACCCCGCCGCAAAATCGAATCCCCATCCTCAAAATGTCGAAAGCTACAAGATTCACAGGAGTATTCCCCCCTCCGCTCATTATTGTTGTCCTTGATACTAAATTACCAATAACCTAGATCCACGCAATAATCCTCATACTAGCGTTGATCGCTGTTTCAATGATCGCTATAACATTTCTAATACATAGGCGCCGAGAAACGAAGCGGCGGAAACGGGGGTCGAGAAAGGGTCAATCTGGCGATTTGGAGGGTAGTGGTGGTGCGAGTGGGGGTGTTGCGGGAGGTGGTGATATAGCCGAGGGGAGCGAAGGGGACGACAAACAGTCGGAACCTGGAACGTGATTTGTTGGGTGGTGCGATGAATAGTTTCACGAACGGGACGGACAACCGTTAGATAGAATTTGGCGTGGGGCTGATTTGAGACCAAGGAATCGCTTGGTTGTTGGGGGTTTTGAACACCAAAGGTGTCAGGAGGTATGGTTGGTTTGAAGGGTAATGATCGATCTTGTTTTTTAGATGCTTTGTTAGCTTGAATGATGGGGTACCATATTCCACCGTGATCATGTGTGCGTCCTTCTCCTAGGGGATTGCCCCCGGAGGATATATCGAGATTAATCCTGAGAAAGCGGTATTGGGCCGGAGGGGCGATACATCGAGCGGCTATACTCAAGTAGAAGTTTTTTTTCGTTAGTTCCGTGGTATTTTTCTTATTGTTTCTGGGCACTATACAGGTGGGGTAAATGGCTGGCTACTTCCCTAGGGCATAGTATGTTGCTGGCATCTCATACTATCATAATACAGCAAAAACAGCCGAAATCGAGGAGAAAAGGGCACTAGTTAAATTTTATACTCCCCATGCGGACCCCCTCGTGAATTTTTATATGAGTATATCTAGAAGAGGCTAAGGATCTAAAAACTTAAAAGCCTAGGTAGCATTCTATCAATTGAGCTGCTTATCTACTAGGTCATTCTGTACATCGGCGGTCAAAGTTTCAGCATAAACACCAAAAGTTTATGAGTGACTATAGGAAAGGTCCTCGATTGGGGAACAGTTGACATAAGGCGTTCGTGCACAGCCTGAATCCGGAGGAGAATTCCCAAGACTCAAATATGTTGCAGGTAATGAGCAAAACCTCTTATCCCAAGGATTCGTTAACACTTGGGTAGCGCGTCATAGTAGGTCTAAAGCGGCGATAAACCACGCGACACCCGCTTCCTCGTCACTCACGCTAACCCTTATCGTACACTACTCGTTCATCTTAGCCTGAGGGCCTGTTTGGCAAGAAAAATGGGATTTTCATAATATTGCAATAGAAATATTTAACATTGGACTCTTTTGGTTATAGCTCAACTTGAAAGCCCCCTTCAAGAATTCTGTTTTCACCACAACGGTCAGAAAGGCAGATGCTATCTAGATATGGGGGGGTTTTTTTTGATGCTCGTTGGTTAAAAGGATTTGAGTTTTATGACGTCAAAGATTGAGAGTTTAAGAAAAGTGTTAGGGGCTGTTTGGCAACTCGTAGTTTGAAATTATCGTAGTTACAAACCATGGTCCTGCAACCGTAGTTTGTTTGCAGTTACAAACTGTGGTTTGAAACTGTGGTTTACCAAACAGTACCTGTAGTTTGGGAATTATCAATTTAAAAACTTGGTTTACTAGTGTAGTTGAAATAATATGGAGTGAAATAAAATATTAACTTAAAGAAAATGTAAAAAGCTCATATATCTATCCATTTACCAATTATTCAAAAATTTTGTTAGATTATTTATAATTTTATAAAATTAAAATTAATTTACCAATCAACTGTACATTAAAATAAAATTAAAAAAAAATAACATTGCTGAAAGTTTCAACCATGGTTTGGAAAATTTACAAACTGTGATTTGTAAAGTCATGTTTACCAAACAGCCCAAAGTTACCAACCATGGTTTGAGCCCCCAAACTGTAGTTTGAAAGCCCAACTATGCTTTGCCAAACAGCCCCTAATTTTTTCGTATGGTGGCGTGCCAAAGTAGCCCTGAAACTTGATTCTGCACTCGCCATAGTACTCGTGAGGCCCTCCCATGGCGAGAGGGGGGTTCCCGTGATATACCTTTTAACATCAATACCTCCAAGTGTCCTCTTGAACAAAAACATAGCGGCAGACCAAGCAATTTCACCTTATTTACTTTTCGCCCTTTTACCTTGATGCCAACTCAGGCCATTCTTCAAGTCGAGTAAACCTAGGTGGAGGAGCGAAAGTTGAACACCCAATTAACGCGCTCGACGCTAAGAGATTCTCGAGTATAAAGGATTTGCGTTGTTTTATTTCCAAGTTAATAATGTGTATCATACTATAATTCCTCGCCATTTGTCGGGCGGGTAGCCAGGCGGTGAATGCGGTCACTCGTGGTCACTCGTACGGCGGTTCAGGCAGCCCGGGGGGGTTCGGTGCATACAGTACTTTTTGCGGTTCCAGTAAGTATCATAATAGTTCCCGGTAGCCACAGCCAGCTCTCTGATTTAGTTATGCGATTGTTGTTGAAAAAGGTTCCCATATTATGTTATCAAATGTCAGCGTTTGTCCTGACGCTAGATACCTTAATAGGCATCTTACAGTCCGGGATTCGGGATAGCTGCATCTGGACGCTAAAATAATGGTAAAGCCCAAGGCTAGGAATTCTACTACGCTTCCAGTTATCCCCAATATAATTGCGAAAAGCTCTAGTATTTCGATGCCATACCCCACTACCCATTAGTATTGTTGCTGCACAATTTACCACTTAGAAGTGCCCATTCACAAGAAATTATCAGCAACTACCCATCTACAAACACCCCCAACCAAAGCATCCCATATCACCGATTACAATTCCTAGTTCTACCCAACACAAGACACGATACCCGAAGCTTCCAGAAGTCAATCATAGTTATACACCCAGCGCCCATGGCATTCTCTTCTGTATCAAGCCCACTTTCCACTCCCACCCTTCCCACAACTCCCACTTATTTTACCAGCATGTGTCATATGGCTAACAGTATACTTACCAACCCATTAACCAATCTGCGCAGATCCACGTTCTGGTTATCCTTACCTGCTTCTTCACGCTCTCCCTGGTTGCGGGAATCGCTTATTGGGCAAATACCTGGTTGAGGGGGAGGCATCAAGATCGACGGGAGGTGGCTTGATGTCGGTGACATGTGGAGGTTTGAAAATACGTGGAGGGAGGACTCGGATTTGGAGAGTGGTGACGGGGTGGATTCGGCTTTGGTGTTGTTAGGTGATGTCGGAGACTTGTTTTTGTAGGTAACTTTATCTAGAGTTTTACTAGTCACGCATTGTGGTGACAGTGTAACGGTTGGATAGTGATATGACGATCGGGGATTGAATTGATACCTGTAAGGTGGTGGGGATATCTACCTTTTGTCGCCAGTCTCGAGACGGTGATTTTTTACGATTGCTATATCCTTCCCTAGGGCTCGAGCTCCAAACCTCCCCGAAGACTCAGTATGATATTATGATACCAGTTCAATATCAAGCACTCTCTCCTTCCTTTTCAGGGCTACAAATAGGGCTAATTCTGTATCGGGCCGATATCCGATAAAGACGAGATGGGTGCCCTGAGCCATCGGCTTCTCACGTCTGAGGAAATGGGTTGTAAAAGTGATTTGCGCTCAAAAGACGGTTTTCTGAGATGATTTCATAGTCGGAATTATGCTGTTCCGGGCGAGAGGACGGAAACTCAAGGATCTACCCTAAACACTTCCAGGGACTGTGCGAACAAGAGATTCTCCTGATGCGGTAAATTCCAGCTCCACGCTACCTGATAGACGGGTGTGGGACAATGGCAGGAGAGGAGAGGATAACTAATCATGTGCTGCTAAATAAGTAGGCGTATATTAAGGCGCCAGCGTGCTCTTCACACGGGTTCGGAACCCAATCTCAGTGGGGCCTTTTATCCCAACATTAATTCAGGACGACGAATAGTGGGGACGGGTGACTCAAGAGACGAAAAGGCAGATACGGAAAAGGAAGATAGGCCGATCGGCCAATAGATAGTATTCGATTTGAATGCCAAATCCCAAGGGTATCACATAGTAAGCAACTATTGGCGGGAGTGGACTACTTTCATAAAGACGTTTCCGGTGGGGGCTTCCGAAAAGACAGACAAAATCCCCACGCATATTAAACGCTCAGCTAAGTAGCCTCTCATTTCGCTCGAGCTGGAGCCTCGCTATGTGGTCTGTATTCTGTTCCTTTTGCTCTTGTCCAGATTTGCGTGGATATGGCGATTAACCAGTGCCCCGGCCCGTCTGGAGGAAAGCCTCTCGTGTTTAAAATTCCTTTGTCAGCAGACAGGCAATGATAGGGATTACACACGCTATCCCAAGACATACACAGTTTGCGGGGTTACCGGTACGCCTTCTGCGATCGGATCCGCACTTGTCGTGTAACCGAAGCTGGGAGGCATCATAGAGATCAAACAGCTCTTTCCTCTCGCGATCCGACTCCCCCGCCACAAAACCTCCTTGTTACCCCTCTTTGTGAATTTCTCTTCTCCATTTCCCCCATACTCTCTCCTACGGCAGAGTGGATCTCCGGGTTCCTCGGATTCGTCGAGACGCGATCCCAAGATAGCAGCCAGCGAGTGTCCTTGGCAAACCGGCTGATAAAACCTTACTCTCAGCGTCCGCTTTCTTTCTTTCTTTCTTTTTTCACCCTATCCCACCCACCCTCACACGCACGCCCACATCTACCATAACTTCCCATCTTTCTCTTATCCCCTCCCCCTCCCCCCTCCCCCCTTCCTTTCCCCCCTTTCACTTATCATATCGTTATCAGATACCGACAGGAGAAGAAGAGAAAGCTGCAAAGAATCCTTCAAGAAGAACACCACTGTGCACGGTACGGTGAGCGATGGTATTGTCTATTCCAAACATCAATTGGGGCTGTCCACTGACGCTACAGGCAACCCCTCGCTCTTTACGTTCGTTCTTCGACTCTACTCCGGCGGATCTATTGGACTCGCAGTTATCTTCTCTCGCACTTATCTCTCGAACGACTTACGAGCAGAATCTGTCGGAAATAGCGACACTGCGGAAGCAGGTTGAGGACAAGGAAAACGAAATTTCTTCACTAATAGTCAAACGCAATGGGGTAGGTGTGGATGTTGGTGTTGGTGCTGTCGGGGTAGCGGTGGAGATTGGTGTACTGGAAGTTCAAATTACAGAGTTACAGAAGCGTAACGAGGGACTACTAGGGGAAAACAAGCGGATTGCAAAAGAGCTGGAGAGTTCGGAATTGAAAGGGAAGGCTATCAAAGCTGAAATTACCCGCCTGAGGTTGGACGGATCCAAGAGATCCAAGGAGCTCGAGGAGAGAAATCTGAAGCTGTCTGCGGAATTGCTGGACGCGACGACTGCGTTTTCACAGCTACAACAGTCGATTGGCAGTCATGGCGGAATGACAAATGGACATGGGATAGGCCCGAGTAGCACGGCGGTGGCCGACAACGAAGCGACCCTGCGTGAGCTCAGAAGTGAGAACGAAAAGCTGCTGACCAAGCTCCGTTCGTCCGAATCTAGCAAAGCAGACCTTCATAGGATCAATAAAGAACTTAGGACCGTAGTGAAGACTAACGAGAATAGTAACGTCGACTTGCAGAAGGGAAACCTAGACTTGAAAGTACAAATTTCAAGTCTGGAATCGGATAATCAGAAGCTTCAGAAGAAAACCGCGAAATTCGACATGATGATGGAGGGAAAGGATCAATTGGAAAAACATGCCGCGAGCTTGCGGGCTGAGATCGAGAGACTGCGTGCGATACCCCCTGTAAATAACGATACAGGAGCACTAGAGGCAGAAAATACGAAGCTACGGAGCGAAGTTGAACATCTGAACTCGCTGCTCACGGGCGACGGTCCAAACTCGCGACGGGGTTTCGAGGCGGCCAACAAACAACTTGTGAATGACAACATCGAATTGACAAGGAAATATGAAGGGCTGATCGAAGAGAACAATAAGCTGGCCAACCGGTTTGAGGTCGAGAAAAAGAAGCTCACGACCCGTGATTCAGAGATTGAGATTTTAAACCAGCGCTCACAGAGGCTTCTCGACGACCTCAATATCCACAAAGACTGGAAGGAGCGTCTGAGGGACGAGAACTTAGCCTTGCGATCACAAAAGGACAGATTGTTAACAGACCTGGACGACATGGAGAGGGACCTGAGGATATACCGTGCAAAAGTGGCGGAATCGAAGGTCTTGAAAGCACCATTGGATAAGCCGTTCGAGCATATTCCCGTGAGGAAGGATGTCCGGCGCAATTCCGGTATAGATCCAAATGGCACACATGGCAAGTCTAACGAAAATTCTACTTCACCACGGGGACACGGCTTGAAGAGGCCACTCGACGAGACGGAAGACCTGGGGAAGGAGGTAGGCGGAGGAAATATAGACGGTAGCCTAACCGGCGGAAACGGGGACGGAAGCAGTCGGAATTTCAGCATCCGTGCGATTGCCTCGGAGGCCAATGGACCTGCACCACCATCAATGATATTGAAACCACCATCAGGAGTGGCCGCTTTACCAGCGCGCATCAGCACCAGCGTCCCAACATCGCCCACTGCTGGAAGAAACCTCTTTGACCGAGTAAACGCGGGCCTTCCCTCGCGGTCGCTTTTCGACAGAATCTCCCTTCCGCTCCCACAACCTCCACCGATTTCACCAGTTTCGCGCAGGTCTGAAGAGCGAGATATCGAACACCTCATCAATAGCACCAAGACCGGCAAACGCTGCATCGTTTGTCGTTTCGACGGTGCCGGCAACCTCCCTGACCCTGCGGACCTCCTATCCGTCGTCTGCGGCGGTCCGCTAGAATCTCTCCGCATAACGAGCGATCGAAACATGGGCATGCTCTGCTTCCTGCGTCCCCACGACGCGGAGGAATTCCTGGACTACGCCGAACGAAACCTTAACGGGAAGCGTGTATTCCGCGACGAGCGCTGCGTGGTGGAATTTTTATGGCAGGACAAAGCCATCAAACCTATTGAAAGGGAGATAGCATATCACGTGGTACACTATAGTCGCTCTAGAATTTTTAAGTTCCATTGTCTACCATACGAAATCCCGCTCGAGCGGTGTCTTACTAAGATCACTTCTCTCATTGGCGATCGGCCGCTGTGGCTGAACGAGGGGCATAGATTCCAGCGCGGACGGGAGGTCGAGGTTGAGTTCTTGAGTATTCGAGACGCTACCGAGGCGAAACGTTTGTTAGATGCTCAGGCCACAGCATGGGGGGGGTATTTCCTGGTGTAGAGAGGAGTGCGATCGGCCAATTCCCATCAACAGACAATAAAATAACGATTCCGGCGGATTTTTTTTCTTACACGACATCTATCCACACCAACTTGTAGGTACAGTATTATAAGCAGTTTTTCATGGGGGCATTTGGTCATTACCGAATACTATCTTTTCAGGGTTTCTGGTTGTTGTTTTTCTTTTCCATTTCTCTCCTATCGTTTTTGCTTTGCTTTGATTTTGAAGGCTAGCGTGATGAACGGACGGATGCAGGATTGGGGGGTTGGATTGTTGAGTGGGAAAGGACCGTAGAGTATAAGGGGGGGGGGTGAATCGTACCCTTGGTTCATGTGCTGGTATTTTTTACATCTCTTTGTTTGCTTGCTCGGGCGATTGATATCATACACACATAATAGTCACGACACCCCTATTGGATAGGTCCTTTGTGTCTGACTGCATGGTTGAAATAGAGCTACTGATATCGCATTGCAGGTTCGCTGACGTAAATTCAATGTTTCTCTGATCCTTTTGATTTCTAGATGCAAAGTTCGTCACTCGTAATCAGAAAAATCTGGCTTTCTAGTGTCATACCCTGTTTGGCTCTCATGAAGTCAAGCGTCTTCTTATTTATTTGCTTTTTTGGTGCCTTAATTCCATTTGGGGTTTACAATACCGGTACTCAATAGGGAGGTTCTGCTATTTTTCTTAATTACGACACTTTCACTATCTCCACGGCAACGGCAGGGATTATGACCTAACTACCGGTAGTAAGAAGAGGGTGTAGTGTAGTGTGGCAAGTAGCAAAAGTAGAGTTAAGAAATGTTCTTTAATTAAGAAAATTTCTTAAAGCCCTTTGTTTACACCAGACTAGTGATTATTGATACAATGAGAGTTGGATGGGTGCGGCCACCTAGGGTCAAAGACCTGTTACTTATGATGAGTCATAATTATTAAAAATCCCCGGGTGCAAAACCGTATAGTGCAAGAAGGTATAAGTGTCAACCTCATTTTGGGGGGTTTTCAATTAAACATCACCCACCCAATAGTAGTCCAACTTAGGTAAAAAAAACGTAGAAATATAGAGCAAGTGACATAGAATAAAAGTACGTTTTTTTAATTTAGTAGAAGCAAGTATCAGGAGTGGCATCCTTGATTGGAAAATTGAATTTTTGGTGTAAAATCTGAGTCTTGGCATTGAAATGCAACATATAATTTCTGAGTAATCATAAATTTAGCATGTATCATAAGTCAATTAAAGTAAATTATATGAAGAAGCATGAGATATTATACTGATATAATATACTACAAACAAAAATATTTCCCCAATGGTAGATACAATATCTGTGCATTATGTGAAATGGTGCCTGAATGCCTGAATTCAGTAAAACCAACTTTAACCTAGAAGTTTTGGGTGTGTACTGAGAGAATGATGAGAGCATACCATGAAGGTATTGCTTATGGTACACCAGACTTTAGAGAGAAAGTTACTAAAATATATAGAAGTCATTGTAGAGTTTCAGACTCTCAAACTATTGTATATAATTAATATCTCTTACAATAGTTACACTTCTTCATAGTCAATCACTCATTGTCTTGGCAATTATTTGCACAGCCACTGTTGCATTTGACTGTGCCACACGGTTGACAGTCTTCCCTTCTTGAACCCATACTTTAGAAATCGGGTATTTTCTCTCACGCCACCCGCGAAAATAAAAACAAAAGTATAACTTAAGAAAAATAGCAGAACCTCCCTAATTCTGTATCATCCGACCTTGTTTGATTACCCTCATATCTTTCACCTGCCACCCATCCAAATGGGCGTCTAGGGCCGAGGCTAGTGGCATTGCCAACCACTCCTGGCATCACCCTCAAATGTATTCAATTGAAAATACCGTATGAGTGATAAGTCACCGATTGAGGCTCAAAAGTTTTCTAGGCAGCGGCAACATTTGCCAAGCCACTGTCTTATCTTGCCTAAAGCACCCACAGGTAAATTTTCAAAACCAGATCTCCCTCAACCCTCCCATCACCCCACCGCCCCCCGTCTCAATACCGACAGCAATAGCCACAACGACAACAGCAATGGGGGGGAAACGGCTAAAGCACCGTGCTGGTAATAATAGCGGCGGTGGCGACCGCAGCCGCCGTAACAACCAGGGCGCTGGCCAGCGCGGAAACTACGCTTCTATCCCAACCGAGAATGCTCTCTACGAATCCTTCTACAAGCAATCAAGCTTAATTCCCTCAGAAGAGTGGGAAGACTTCTGGGCGTCCTTGCAGAGGACACTGCCAACTACTTTCCGCTTCACTGGTGGGAAAGCGCATGCGCTGGGGGTATTGAAGACATTGAAGGAGACATTGATTCCGCATCTAGTCGGGATTGAGTGGGAGGGAGTGCTAGTGGAGGCGCCCAGGGCATTGGGATGGTTTCCTGATAGCTTGGGTTTGTTTATTCCTCCATGTTTTGCTGGGAGGATCCTATTAATGGATCGGCAGCATGGCAGTTATCTGTCGGAAAGTCCACAATCCGACGATGTCCTCCGTTTAAAAAGTTTCAGAATTTCTTAGTTGCGGAGACTACGGTGGGGAATATTTCACGGCAAGAGGCGGTTTCCATGATTCCACCGTTGGTGATGGATATTCAGCCGCATCATGTGGTGTTGGATATGTGCGCCGCGCCGGGTTCGAAAACGGCACAGCTGATTGAAGCGATTCATGCGAATGAGGAGGCACACGTTCAGGCTGCGATTCAAGGTGAAACCGTTGACGATGCGTCTGGTGGTAGACCGGCAGGCTTGGTCATAGCCAACGACGCAGATTATAGGAGAAGCCATATGTTAATCCACCAAACCAAGCGTTTGAACTCTCCGAATTTGATAGTTACGAATCATGATGCTACCATGTATCCTAGCCTTCTCGTTAAGAATGAAGACGGGAGGAAGGAGTACTTGAAATTTGACAGGATATTGGCGGACGTACCCTGCTCTGGTGACGGTACTGCTCGGAAGAACTACAATGTCTGGAGGGATTGGAGCCCCCTAGGTGCTATAGGTCTACACTTGACACAAGTCCGAATCCTGGTCCGTGGCCTACAAATGCTGAAAGTTGGTGGGCGAATCGTGTACTCCACCTGTTCCATGAATCCCATCGAGAACGAAGCGGTTGTAGCCGCCGCCATAGACCGCTGCGGCGGATTGGAAAAGGTCAACATACTGGACTGCTCTGACCGCCTTCCCGAGCTCAAGAGACGGCCGGGGGTGAAAGGCGGCTGGCGAGTAATGGATAAGGACGGCTCCTGGTTCAGCTCTTTCGAGCAGGTTGGTGAAGCAGATATGCGTGAAGCAAGACTTAGTAGGATAGTGCCTAGCATGTTCCCATCCGAGGACGGAAAATCCGATGAAGATGGACGTAGGATCCCGCTAGAAAGGTGCATGCGCGTCTACCCACATTTACAAGACACGGGGGCATTCTTCATCACAGTTCTTGAGAAGAGGGCGGAAATTGGCGCCGTTAAGAGCGAGGAGCATGGGAGGAAGAAGATGGCTGCTATTGCGAGGTCTAAGGTGGGGACACCTAGCGGGGGAGGGAAAGGTGGGGAAGTCGAAGGGACACGAGAAGGAGCTGAGTTAGTGCCCACGGCCGCTGCATCTGAGCAACCCCCCGCCCCTGGATCGCCATCCAAGAGAAAGTTGACAGAAGCGGTGGCCGGCACGAGTTCCCCACTTGCAAAAAAACCCCGATCCGATCTCCCAGACCCTGACGAAGACGACGACTCCGATGGTGGTGTACAGCTTGTTGGCGAAGAAGCCGCACCTGGGATCCCCGCGCGGACTAAATCCTCTAACCCTCCCAAGAAAGATAAGGCCCCACCCGCTGAAGAACCCTTCAAATACCTTCCAGCAGACCACCACGTCCTGGAAAACATCACAAAGTTCTACGACCTCTCCCCGCGCTTCCCGAAAACCTGCTTCATGGTGCGAAACGCCGAGGGTATCCCTAGTCGAGCAATCTACTTCACCGGCTACCTCGCGAAACAGGTTCTAACCTCTAACGAAGGCTCCAACGTCAAATTCGTGCACTGCGGGGTGAAAGCGTTCATGAAGCAGGACGTGCAAGAGGAGGGTGTATGTCCGTGGCGGATCCAGAGCGAGGGGTTGAGTATTCTTGAGGGATGGATAGGGGAGACGAGGGTTGTGCGGGCCAAGAAGAGGGAGACGGTGAGGGGGCTGTTGAAGGAGTTGTTCCCGAAGGTTCATGCGGAGGGGCAGGAAGGGGATGTTATCGGGGAGATTGAGGAGAAAGTAAGAGGCCTTACGATGGGGTGTTGCGTTCTCAAGGTCGAGGCGACGGAAGGGGAATTTGAGGACAGAATGGTCTTCCCGCTTTGGAAGAGCAGGCATAGCTGCAATCTGATGTTACCGAAGGATGAGAGGAAGTATGAATCTCACTGCTATTGCGGTGCTGGTTCGTGATGGATGACTAACGAAATTATAGGGCGATGCTAATGCGCCTCTTCAACGACGAGTCTGGCATCAAAGACTCTACAAATAAAAACTCCCACCTCGCCCGGGACGCCGCTGCCGCCTTGGTCGCCTCCCCTATAGACCACAAATCCCTAATGGCCCAAGCCATAGCCATTGCCCGCAATTCAACCTACATCCCATCAGCCTTCTGCGTCGGCGCCATCATAACCACTCCAGGCGGAACCATCCTTTCAACTGGCTATAGTAGAGAACAACCCGGAAACACCCACGCTGAGCAAGTCGCCATCGACAAGGTCCTCTCTTCTTCATCCGTCCCGAAGGAGGCAGCGGTATACACAACTATGGAACCCTGCAGCAAAAGGCTCTCCGGAAATAAGTCCTGTGTGGAGCGGATTTTGGAGTGCTCGTGGATCAGGAAGGTTTATGTTGGTGTCGCGGAGCCCGGCGATTTCGTTGAGAATAGTGGGAAGGCGGTGCTGGAGGCAGCTGGGGTTGGGTATCAGTTGGTTGAGGGTTTGGAGGGGGAGTGTTTGGGGGTTGCGAGAGGGGAGGGGGGTAAGGAGGGGGGTAAGGAGGGGGAGGGGAGGGATGAGGAAGGGGTGTGTTTGGAAGGGGGGAATGTAGTTATGTAGGAAGCGGATACGTCGGGGGCGTAAATGCCTACCGTCCAACTAAGTGTGAGGAACGAAGTGGCGTTTTTTTCCCTCTTTTAATTCCATGTAGAAACGGTCTTGCGATCACCGGAGCATAGATTTTAATTGAACTAGGCTTGGATCTACTTTACTGTATTTATTAAGGCCTTCCACTGCATTGATCCTTTGTCGAACCCGTTATCAATTGACTAATATTGCTCATCGCGCCCTCCCTGATATACAACTCTTTGAGCGGCCGTGATGATGGGATAGAACGAGATAGGAACTATAGAAGGTATTGTATAGTACTGCACGGTACTGTATAGTGTGCGATTTATTCTCGACCATTGCTTAATTTCGGTCACAAGAGTCTATAGTCGGATGGATCACTAGGTGGGCGTGGTCTATTGTAATTTCCTTTTTTTGTGGAATCTGTGCTAAGTTTGGGATTTTTTCATGCTTTTAGTCTCTGGTTTTCTTGAGTTATGATACCGGTGTAGGGGGCGGCGACAGTATAGGATAGTGTGGCAGTCACAGGGGGGGGGGGGTTTGCACGCACAATGGTTGCACAGTAGTAGATAGCTTGGCATGCACAACTTTCGGTATTTGGAGGAGGACTTTTATGTTTGCACAGTAGATAGAGAAAACAACCTTCCTCACAGCTCTCAATTCAATCACCAGTCTTCGTCTAGGAGGTTGGCCCTTTTCTCAGTTCTCTTTCTGCTTATCAGCTCTATTATTCTTTATCTACCCAGAGTCAAGCGTACCTTCTCAATCTTCTGCGATAGCAAGTAGGGTTCCGGTCATATTTCCCTTCATGGGCGTGCATGGTCAACACACCATCCATCTAAGGGGTAAGCATCAAAGAGACCCCACACCGGGGTAAATTTTTTTGGCTGGAGTTTGCAGAAGGTATAGAGCATCCTAAATAGGCAATATTTTTTTTTTTAACTATTTTTCGCTAGTTGGATCGTTGTGTGGTAACTTAATTGCAATATAAAATTTCAGAAGATTGATTCCAGATTCAAATGTTTGACTGCGCCCCGGAAACCCACCAGAGTCGGAAGGGGGGGGGGGGGTAGAGTATTAACTTCACCCTGTGATTCACTAGCACTTTCTGAAAATCTACCTTCTGGTCACTTGTTTCGCTGAGCGAGGGCTGAAAAAAGGTATTGGTGTTGGTCCACTAACTGGGACTATCCGCTGGATGTTATTTCACGTTCCCCGCCATTTAACTGTAGCCGCCATTCACAGAGTAGACCCCGGATGGGAAAACATTAATGTGCAGAGGTGGATAGGAGGATTTTAAATTTCTGCTATGCATTTGCTATATTATCGGTAGAGGTTTGTTTATCTTACACGTGTGATTATGGGAAATTGAGGCTTACCCCATGTTACAGTACCTTGGTTTCCAGTTTTCAATTTCTGGATCGCGCGGCGGATAGTAGACCCTTTAGTGATTTAAGGAGGGGTGAAAGGGTAGCGACTGCAGATGCTGGATTTCCATCGAATGGGGGATGGCAATATTACAGCTCAAAACAGTTTCTGAGAATCTGCATCATTCGTTGGGGCTCCCTGGTGATAATATAGCCAATATCGCGCCCGAGCGGACGTCCTGCACAGAGAGGAACGGTTAGGATTCCTCGTGGGGATCCTGGGCCGGCGTTATCTACGGCACCGTGGAGGCAGGTAGAGGCCCCTGGGAGATAGCACATGTACGAGTACTGTACTTGATAATTTTGTTGAGAGCAGCTATCGTATCATACCTACTCACCTATCTGTCTTATCAGTCGATCTCGTGGTATCAGTATACACCTGGTATAATAGTGCATAAACACGGGTAATTAACTAGCCTATTTCTATATAATAAAATATTGTAAAAAAATACAGAAAATTTATATAAGTTACTTTTTATAAGGTTTATTCCAGAACTTAATTAAAATAGTAAACATTTGATATTTGAATAATCTGCACCTGGATTTATCTAGGCATGGTATGATGAAAAGTGAATCTCTACTAAAGTTAGCTGAATTTAGATGGGGGCTTGGCATTCTGTATTAATGACTGGATAAGGATAAATACCAGCTTTGTGAAACAAATAGATAAAATAAATAAAAATCATAAAATGATTTTTCTTTTAAATAACTGCTTTCAACAATTTTGAATAATTTTAGATAATTTTCTTTCATTATTTTTTGAGCTAATGAATATATAGACTTTTGCGGGAAAACGGGGTAAGTTATGGGACAATACTTTTGAGAGCTGAGTTTAGTTTAGTACTCGTACAGTACACCCCTGCCAATGGTGGTTACGAGGACTCGAGTACCGCGCACAAACTACCATGTTCCTAGAAATGATCTCCGGACTCGTATTCTCAGACGAAGCAGAGAGTCCGCCACCCTCAACCGCCAATTACCGGTATCGGTACTTTAATTTCCCAGAGCAAGACCGAGCTAAGTCTGCGGCGGGTAGATAATCAAGCGATGGATCAAAAAGGATCATCGACTGCCATACTACCGTATATCCCTCCCCTAAATTGCAGTCTTTGAACTGGCACCAACCGTGAGATTATTTTGGATAACCACGACAACATGAGTTCTGTCGTTAGTTTCGAACATATTGTTCAAATAAATGGGATAATAAATCATTCGGGACTTTGCAAAGGGATTCTCTACAAAATTACCAGGGGAATTATTTTAAAAGGGGTTTTTTCTTGAATATTGATAGCTTGGTCTGCCCGTATTTTCCAGGAACCCGAGGCGCATGACCAGCATTACATGGAATGTACCGGCACGATACGGAACGGGAGTTGTTATATTACAAACACCAGAAACGAGACAAAGCGTTTACAATTCCACCTTGCCAATAATTGGCCCCGGAAAGCAGCAATAATGGGGCAATCCGATGCTTAAATCAACGGCTTCTTACCCTTAATCCGAATTGCCCTTCGGCCCCTCTGAGAACACAACTGCCTGATCATACCAGCAGGCTAGAATACCTCCACGCACGCCCACCCCCCGCTCCGTACTAATGTGGCTTGCCCCACGGTAATGGAAAAACATGTCCAATCATTACGGTAGGTTGATGGGTGAGAAGAGTTACCGAAAAGTGGCCCTCGGCTTCCCACTTCGGTCCCGAGACTTAGAATTTACTAGTTTAGGAGGCTCGGGGCTTCGAGGAGGGAGGGTACGAGTATTCCCCGGCGGTAGCCTGCCGTACCGCAAGGACCAATGATATTTATCGCCACAAACTGCTCTGGGAGATAGCTTGGGGATCGGGTGTCTTTGAATGTTGGGGGGGTGTCGAAAGTACTCGAGTACTTTATTGGGGAGCACAGTGCTGTGCTCGAGTAACCCGGGAGCCTCAAATGTTTGAAAACGCAGTCTTCCGTGGCTTGGATTATTGCTGCGCCTGTTGTCATTGACTCGGTTGCCAACTTGGTGAAGTGAGACTTAATTTTGGAAATAGTCACGAGTTTGTCACTAGCCTGGAGTGTGAATACGGGCTAGGGTCGCACAAGCTGCTCTTGGCGAACTCCCCAACCCCAATCCTGGCGCCTCGAAGTCTGAAGAGATCACAGGTGGGCCGCAAGCCGCATTCGTCAAACACTCAAGGGGCATTTGGCCTTCTCTGATTTGGTATTGAAATCAGATATTGGCAATTTTAACTCGAACCAAAATAGGTTAAACCGAGTAGGCTTAGGGATAGCACCTGAAATAATCTGAGTTAATGTACAATCGCCAAGACTTGATTTCGAAACCAAGGTCAGAGTGCGCCAGGCACCCCCTTGTAACTATTCTCTATTGCCCAATTATCGTGAGAATGTGGCGACGCATGGCCAGAAGCCTGCCCTAACAATCGCGATATCATATCCAATCTCCGTTGCTCAGGGTTCAATGTACCTTACCGTTGAACTTTACCAGTAGGAGGTGATTATCTCGCCACCGCTGGAGTACGAGTACAGTACCGGTAGTTTACCCATACAGTGTTGCACTACGCTGTACTACCTTCTGGAACGCCAAGTATTCTCATTTGCTCTGACACGAGAGCACGGCGGGCCGTACCCGTATTCGGGGTGCCTGTGGGCGCCGAGATGTGTACGAAGGGTGGAATTAGACAAGGTGTACCACTTGTTTCTGTCTGGAATATTCGTGGATTGTATTGTTTTCTTGTGTGATTGGGAATATGCCTGATGGGAAGTTGAAGGGGTAGGGTGGAACGAAGCACTGTGGATCTAGTACTGATGTACCTTGATTTGGAGGGAAGGTGGGTAGTAGTTGGTGCATAAAGCTTAATGGTAGTACAATGGTACCTGCAGGGGATCGTTCGGGGCTAGTTCGTGGCAGTGTAGTCTTTGGGATGATGAATGGGTAGGCTGGGATGGAGAGATTCCATGAAGAGAAGGAGTTTGAGGGATTGGATAGCCGGATCCTCAGCTAGCTAGCCGGCTAGTGTACAACAGACAACCTCATCGCCGGGATACGGGAAAACGAAGTATCATACTTCCTCCGGATGGGAGACCAAACATCTATATAAACCCTCTCCCCCACCTTCCCAAACACCCTTTCTTCCTAACCACTACCAGCCTCGCCATAAAAACCTACACACTCTCTTGTAAGTCTTTAGCACTACTCATTCACAATGAGGCTCCTAGCGATAGCTTCCCTCCTCCTCCTCTCCACAACGGCGAATGCAGCTCTCAATGGCCACTGCAGCGTAAACGGTACATCAGGCGTGTGCATTTCCACGGCAAATTGTGCTTCAGACGGGGGCAAGTCCACCGCCGGCTTTTGCCCGAACGACCCGGACGACATCCGCTGCTGCACAAAAACCACATGTGGTAACGGTGGTAGCTGTAAATGGACTGATCAATGCTCTAACGCGACTGTCTCAAGTACGTACTTCACCCTCGCCCCGCTCGTTGGAGTGGAATATCTGCTAACAGGAGTAGGCCAATGCCCCGGGCCCGCCGACTTCAAATGTTGCCAAGCATCAGGAGGGGGCGACGGCATCCCGACCATCCCAAAAAATAAATGCCAACCGCACGTCGTCACAAACGGCTACATTATCCTAAACCAGTTTCCCAACAAGGTACACACAGTCTGGTGCTACGCGAACAAGCCTGGCGATCATGGAACGGGAACAGCGCTCGACCTCATGGTGGGGAATAGGAATCCTATCGGGCAAACCATCGCCGAGTGGGCGATGGAAAATCATGAGAGACTGAAGGTTAAGTACATTATCTGGGGACAGCGCATTTGGAATGTCGAGCGTGAGGGGACGCCTCGCCCGTGGACTCGGTGGAGGCAGATGGAAGATCGGGGGGACAATACCGCGAATCATTGGTACGTTTGATCACTCATGAGGTGATTGGTTTGTGGAACTAATCAAGGCCTTTAGGGATCACCCGCACATCAGTTTCTTGGCGGGTTAGGTCGCTCTAAGGTGGGTGTGAGAGTAGGGCTGGGGGGATGAAAAATGAAAGAAAGCAAGAAAGAAGAGTCTGCGTGAAGTCAGGGAGGGGTTGCAGGTGCATTAGCCTAGATTGTTTCCGACATAATGTCAATTGTTCCCTATCATTATTAGTTTTTCGAAATCTCCTTGAACTCCAGCATGCGCCAGAGAATGCAAGGCATTGAGGTGTGGATCCGGAACTCTTCCAAGTTATTTAGGTGATGCCTAGCTAGGCAGAGTCATAACAGATCACTCGTAGCATCTCTGGACACTGCTGACTGTGGGGCTCCCCAATGGAGGTGAATTATATCCCAAAAGCCGTTAGAACTTTAGCACCACTGCCGGGCACATCTAACACCCGGCAATCCTGAACTCCTCGCAAAGAGAGAAATGAGAGAAATGAGCATGAACGTGCGCAAAGATCTAGCAGCGAGACACACACCCCAATGCTAGGCGCCTAATGGACCAGGCAAGCCACCCCAACCCACGGATGTATGCACCCTCTGACAAAAGCCACCCAGGTCACCTAGAACTCGTCTACTTCGTGAAGAGTTTTCTGTCACAGTTATGTTGCCGGGAGGTATTACCCAACGGTTAGACCCGGGCGGCGAAGATATAAATTGGCAGGAGACTCGCAGCAAAAGAAAGAGAGGAAGGATATGCCAAAAGTGCCCCCATCAACTTGTGCGATGTGTTTAGTTCAATCCCGATGGTGATTTAGCAACTGGTGGGCTCCGTGCTGCTCCTGAAGTCCCGGAAAAAAATAATTATATTCAACACAATTGAGGTTTCTGTATGCTGTGGAAGTTGAAATTGCGAGTTTGGTGAATTAGTTTTTATTTTTATTCCTTAATTGAATAGACTAGTGGTAAGTTTTAGGCGGCGACGGGGCCGCGGGGGGAGAGTTATTGCAAAACCATGGCATGGATCTGTCATTGCGTCCTACAAAATCTACATTGGAGGTGGAGATCAAGTTATTGCTTTTATCAATCAATAAAAATAAAAGTAAAAAGTAAGTGTCTTCAAGTTTATATCTATATCTGGCAAAATTGAAATTTATTAGGCACTACTAAGGTTAACTATAGTTCTTGGACAAGAGTGATTGTTGCTGTGCTTGACATCATGCCTGCCCACCCACCACTCTGGAACATCAACCCCCCATGTAATGTCAGATGTGCATAGAACTGTGGAATTTTTTGTAAATGGATAGAATAAAAGGAATAAGTAAAAATTATCAATTTAATATTTAGCATAAAGTTACCACCCTTTTTCATTAATAACTACCTCAATCCTACTAGGAATACCCTCTACCAATCTTTCAAACAAAGAGTCTAGTATCAACTCCTAACAATGAATAAGGGCTTCCTCTATTAGAGGCTTTATCATCTCTCCTGATCTAGTATTTGCATCTAAATGAGCATAATGTTTATGATAAAGCTTCTTAAGGTGTACCTAAACATACTCAATAGAGTTAAGATCTGGTAAATATGGAGCTAATCCTGTAACACTTCCACGTCATTCTCCTCTAACAATGTAATAGTAAGCCTATTAGTATGTACTCTAGAATTATCTTGTATAAAGATTGGCCTAATTTTCTGTAACACAAACTAAATATCACAAACTGTGACTAAGCAAGGCAGAATTTACATAGCTTGGGATTCTGAGCTATAGGTATGTTGGAATTTCATATAATGTACACTAGTACACTATAGGTTATTATGTTTACCTGCTCAGGACTCACAGTTGTGAGTCACACAATGTTATAATTTTTGCATATGACTCATGTTATGAGTCATGGGTTTCACTCAGGTGATGTGAGTTGCACACCTGACTTGGTTATTATATCTTGATTGGTTTAAGGTATGTTGCGTAGCGCCTCATAGGAGTTAGACTAGGTGAAGAGTGACTATATAAAGGGTCACTAGGATCCTGAGTATGAGTTCTTTATAAGTTCTTCTAATTTATTTCCTACACTTGTTATTTTATAAGAAAACCTCTTTATGCTCTCTACTTTACTTTAAGAAATAAGAAAACTATCTCTTGTCCTATGACGCACAATTAAGTCCTAAGCGAGAACTTGATAAGATTAAGGAATAGGTGTGAACAGATAGAAGTCAAAGGACTTGACTATCCACCTCGTGTAGGCAATGGCCTAAGAACTATTTCCTTAATACACAGTAAGAATTGTTACCTGTCACACCCCCGTACCCAGTAGGATTCTTAACACTAAACTCCAAACTTGTACAAACAGCTTCTCACAGATGTAAAGAATAAAGTAAACAGTAAAACTTAATATCATTAAGCTTAAGCTTCATTCAATTAGGATCTTGAGAGGATGTTGATTGCATTTGGGTAGAAGAGGTCTCATAAAACTCTTAAATAGTTTGACTTATACCAGAAACTCTCCTATTAGGTTACTCAATCAATACAACTATATCCTTCTCTGCTAAGAGTTGCCTGGCACTATTACTATATCCTTAAAGGGCCTTAGATATCAGTGCACTCTAGCTGCAGTCTCCCATATATATATCTGTTTCTGTGATACATTACCAGTACAACTACTGGAGTAAAGATTTCTGTACATCAGTGTCTTACTAGTGTTTCTAACCATGACTATCAAGTCACATAGAAGAGCTAACTAATTAACCCTCTACCTATGTGTAATCATCTATGCAAGCTCCCCTAAATATCTAATCTCTTTAGTTAAGTTTGATTTATCTTGATTACAAATGTAACGGGGGCTCCCTCAGGTAGATGGCTCCCAAGGATGCGACCGCACCAAACTTCGAATCTCTCGAACACAGCTCTTGCAAAAGTGTAAAGAATAAAAGTAAACGGTAAAACTTAATATTGTTAAGCTCAGGCTTATCTCAATTAAAGTCTCTCAAGAGGATGTTGATTGTGTCGGGGTAGGAGAGTTCTCGTATAATCTTTAAGTAGTCAGACTTATACCAAAAACTCCCCCATCAGGTTACCCCGACCAACATGAGTATGCCCTTCTCCGTAAGGGTTGCCCCGGCACCATTACCGTGTCCCCGAAGGGCTATAGGTGTCAGCGCACTCTAGCAGAAATCTCCCATATGCACATCAGTTCCTGCAAGGTGTTTACCAATACACCTGCCGGAGTGAAAACCTCTGCACATCGGTATCTCGTCAGTGGCTAACTGTCGAGACCCTTGGGAAAGCTAACTAAATGACTCTCTTCCCATAAGCTATGACCTATGCACACACTCGTAGACATCAGCTGTCTTCCGGCTAAGTTCTATCTTTCTTAATTGCGAACTTAGGGGGTCTACGACGCTCCCTCGGAGAGCTGTGTCGGCGGCGGGACCCATAGGCGCTACCCATGGTCCCTTACCCCCGGCACACTACTCACCATGATAAGTGTCATGCTATTAGAGTCTTCAAACAACCCACAAAGAGCTTACGGCAAAGGGGCACGTGTAGGCTTGATTGGCATAAATCTTCCCAGATGTCTCCGGCACTACCCGGGACTACTCTGGGGACCATTCCGGGTAGCTCACGCTAACTCCGTCAGTTTTGGTCCGTTTTACTCCGTTCCTTTTGGAGAAGGTACCTGACCTTCTCACCTTGGCCCCCTTATATATCCTGCGAACAGCTTCCGGTCGGACGGACGGCGACGACGCATACAGTGTTATGGACATGTCTTCATAGATTCCATTTAACTAGCATAACGGCAACTCCACCCATTTTGGCCCATGACGCCCGGGGCGAACCCTGGGGCCGCAGGTACCTGTTAGGAATAATTCTACCAAGTTACAGCTTGTTCGGAGCACTATAGCTCCTCCTGTAGTCTTCCGATCAAAGTGCAATCAAGTGCCCGTCGATCGTCATTGCGTAACAAACAATCCTAACTTTTCCCGAAATTCCTCCGATAACATTTCCGACGGAAGGTAGGGTAATAGTGTCCCAAAGGTAGGGTAAGTATGTCCATGGTGACACGAAACCAGTCTCCATAGTAGGGTAACGTGACCTCCTTAGGCAGGGTAAACTTACCCGGCCTTCTGACCTATCCATAGGCTAGAGCGGATATTGTCACGTTATGACTACTACTTTGGTACACCTACTCCTTAAGTACCTTCTGTTCTTAGAGATTTCCGGACCATCAGATATCTCCTGGATATGCGCCTGCATACCCGCTTCGTCTACCATCTGACCTCTTGGTCTTATGTATAGGTGTAGACGTAGGTTACCATAGCTCTATATCGTAGGGTCATCACAACAAACTACTAAGACCTACAGCACTCTAAGTTCCTCAATGAGCAGCTTTGGTAGTGGAACACCATAGGTACTACCCATGGTCCCTTACCTCTGGAATACTTCTACCATAATAAGAATTTTGTATTTAGAGTCCTTAAATAACAACCAATGAGTCTACAGCATAGGGGTACATGTAGGCTTAACAGGCTAAAGGGCTAATACCTTTCCAGTCGTCCCAGTACCCCCTGAGAACTACCAGTGAGACACCTTCGAATAGTACATGCCAGTGCTAACTCTGTCAGCTTTAGTCCATTTTACTCTATTCAACTTGGAAAAGGTATTTGATCATATGTTACAGCCACCTGGCCATGAGGGAGGAATAGGCATTGGGTTTTTGGTTGCATATATTAGTTGTGATTGCTTGGTTGCGCAGTAGGATTGTCTTTGTATCATGATTAGGGCGTGACATCACACAAAGGAATTTGATGGAACCAGATAGAAGGATGGCAGGTGTGTGTAATGCAAAGGACTTTCTTTTGTATTAGTGATCATCGAGGATTTCCTTCATATATAAAGGGGTGTGCCCCTTTATATTTTACTTTATACATTCTGGTAATCTCTTTAAGACACCTGTACCTAGGGATTACACCTCTTTTCTACTTCATGTTCTCTAAAACCCGTGAACCCCGACCCTAAACCCCTGAACCGCAAACCTCGTACAACCTACTTCAGTTGTATACCTGCACCCAAGCCTTGTCTCCATACTCCTGCCTGCTCCAATCCGTAGTGTGCCTTGGGCTACCTGACCCTCAGACCCTTCCTGTTACATCATATTACCTTATCCTTC